AATCCAAACAATTTTTTTTATTGTCATCAGTAATTCAGTTTAACTAGTAAAATAATGAATATATCATATTTTATTCAAAGCCATAACAACATACACATTTATTGTGATAATATTTAGCTTATTGCTACGGTACTTACTTACGCCTGTCACTCCCAATGGAGCATAGACCGCCTGGAGCTCCTCTGAGACCACTGCCGGTTCCAAACCCGGATAAACGAGGAGGGTTGGACACGGTGTTAGTGACCCCATCCCGTAGAAAACTAACTCGCTAAAAAATGCAATTGCTACTGTGAAGAATACATATCCGAAACAATTATTATGATAAGATCCTACTTATAAGGATAATATTAGTAATAAGAGGGATTAGTTTTATAATACGAAATAACTTTATAATTAGCAGCTTTCGCTAACTAGAATATAAAAATAATGCAGACTCATACAATCAACAAATTATTTGACAGATTATATTAAACTAGAATTTATTCATGAGGGAATGTTTTTCAATATTCGCTGATAAATGGAAACTATTTAGAAATCACTTAGAAACCTTATGTGGTAGAATAATATTCTGGATTAGCTTACTTGTTATACGGAAATAATTGTTGAATGTTTGTTAACTAATTTCTTATAGAAATTTAGACCTTTCCTGGGTTATAACTGGAATGTACGCTTATATATACATAAAACTAAACTTTTAATGTAAGAAAAAACCAAGTTGTCAGTCCAATACAACTATTTTTCATACGTCTCGGGATCATATTCATTTTTGATTTTCCCAGGGGTCAGTAGTTAATTTACTGTTTGAATGTTATTGGAACGAAACCTATAGAAGATATCTACACTACCTACGTTTCAAGACCACAACAGTGTCGAACTACATTGCCAGATGTGAACAGACTTTCGAGGACAACGACGACTGTCTATAAAGTTGTGAACTGAAACATTTTGGTTTGATAGATGGAGTACATTGATAGTACACGATGTACGTTGGCTCAGAGCTAACCTTTCATGTTTTTATCAATAAAAACAGTAATAATGTACTAAACGTACACTTATAAATTTTTTTATAAACTGGTTTAATACAAATATATTTCAAACACAATTTAACTATGTCCGTATAATTTCTAATCATTACTTTACAAATTTTAGTGAACCATTAAAATTCATCGCAAGCTTATACCCTAAAAATCAAACAGAATACACGATTGAACCTAAAGAAGGAATTTTACCACCAATGAATAAAGATAATGAAGCCAATATAACAAATTCACCATTGATCATAACATTCACACCGAATTCATATGGAAAACCAATAATTGCTCAATTAATAATACAGGTAAGTTAATTTTCATGAATAAAATATTTAGCAACTAATAATTAAAGCAGATAATCAACAAAAATACCCCAGTAAGATAAAAACGTTAAGGTACTGTTTAAAACGTTAAAATTTTAAAACAACAATTTAACCCAAACATTATAGATATCCATAAGAATTAAAAGATACAAACTATGAAATGTTGAATATAAAAAACAAGGACATGAGTAGCTCAAATGCAAAAAAATATATAATAAATGAGGAACTGAAATTCTCGAAAAGGGACAAACGTGATATAACATAAATGAGAACATCGAGTAAATAAACGAGACAACTAAAATCATCAACATAAAACAAACACAAAAAATATATATTTAAAAAAAAACAGATAAAAATTGAAGAAGTAGGAAGTCATACCGAAACAAAATAATACAGGAAACAAATTACGGAAAAGTACTTATAAGCAAAATGATCAACAAAATCAAAGACGACAGAAAGAAATACGAATTATCAACAAAAACTAACAAGCTTTGAAATAAACAAAACAATACATTATATTTTTAAAACAAACAGGATAGAGTGGAAATACAAAAGAGTAGTGAAGTGAGCAAGAATGCAAATGGTAGAAAAACCGGATGCATTTCAAAAAAACAAATTATAAAAGCTCATAGAAAAACCTCGAAACCCCACAGTAAATACGTCATATAGAAATGTCAATCGTAAGTTTCAAAATTCATTTTTCGCATAAATCCAAAAAAAAATCGACTACAATACCTCTACCATGGACGGGAACCTTGAAAATTCGAACACGAAAACTTTCATATTAAATCGATTTTACAAAATATTAATATCAAAGATACATAAAATAGAAAAACAAATAACCATTGCAACAACAAATGAAAAACCACATCCATCAACATTCGCCAATCGAATGCTGAAAACAACCAATTCGAAATAACCTGTCGCAATTGAAATAGGAAACAATACAAATTAAAACTCAATATACTTTAACAATAATTCTATGCATTCTGAACAGAACAATAAATATATAAGCGGACTTTTATCAGACTAATAATACGATCAATTTTAATTCATATGACACGCAATTAGTTCATCATCAGGAGGAGTTCAAATGTATACACTTACCAACGAACCGGCACGAATATCTGAAACTAACAGAAAAAATCACTGCATAAAATAGTGATCAGTGTGAAAGACGAATCAACAATTCATAAGAGGTGTCATACACTCATCATATAACCATTACTGGGAAACATGAAAATACTCAACAATAATATTAGGAACTGACTCAGTAATAGAGTTTACCGTCTAACTAACTAACTAACTAACCTGGAATTTCCGCACCAATATCCACGAACACTGACCAAAACCTCCTGATAACAAATACGACTGAACACCATCGTGAACACAGGAAACCTATTTCAATCAATACATAAGTACAATTATCATCGACTTACCACAAAAACTCAGCGATTCCGCAAAAAACCCATCACCATCGGTCGGCCAAGACACTACACACTACGCACACGGTCGCCAAATTCACCTGTAGGCTTGCAGACAATGCGTCAAGCATCCCTGAAAACAAAACGACCCTTGGGAAATTCCTCAGCTACACCCTATCCCACTCGCACGTATTCCCATCTCTACAACCACTGTAGGCTATGTTAGCTAGCGTATCACATACTTAGATGCCGATTTACATAGAACTACAAATTAAGCCAAGTCACAAAACACACGATCTAGGAGTCCCACATATCCATAATCGTCAATCACAACTTCTCTCCTATACACAAAAGCCTAAGCAAACACTAAATGTCATACAACCAGATCCCTTGATACAATTAAACAGAGCAAGAACAACAAGCTTTGCAGGATAAAATGAATTCATTCTATTCAACGGCTTCTCGTCAGCTGCATACAAATTAGAATTACAATTCTCAATGTAATTATTAACATTTGTTTATAATACTTTAGTTTGTGAAGTTTAGACAAATATTCAAAACGTAACCGAAATCATAATAGTAAGAAGAATACGGATACAAAATTTATGAATAAACATAGTTAAGATCGATGTGTATTTACATGTTGGACTGTAATAATTCAGAGTAAGGTAGGCATTATAATTACCAGTAATCATAACCAAGGTAAAAGAGGCTATGTAAAGGTAATGAAATTAATAATTGGTCGCGTAATCACTCAACATGATAAAAGAAAACAAATATGTGGACACCAACAAGAATAATAAAGCTAAGGAAGTTGGGGACAGAGTTGGAAAGAAAATTTAAAAATCAAAACTAATGAACGTCATTAGATAAACATCCGACCATCATGTCAAATGAAGGTTAGTCACACTTCCCTTCTGTATACATAGGTCAGGTCGGAAACGTTCGATGTCGATCACCTCCGCCAAACGCAATAACCTTGGTGTTTGTTGTCTGTTAATTATTTTGAATGCATTACTTACATTCACCTCGTGTCCACTGTCCAAAAGGTGTCTGACAATAGCACTTGTAAACACTTTACTCCCTTTCAGTCGTACGATCCTAGAAATGTGTTCAGAAACCTAATACACACCCTTCTATCTATCATTCCTGTATACATGCTACCGCAAGCAAATATAAATTCATAGATGCGATTTGAGGTGACGTCGGAAGGGTGTTGATCTATCATGGAATGATATAACAAAATACTTGGTATTTTGTATGCCTATTCTTCGTACTATTATGATTTCGGTTACGTTTCGGACATTTATCTAAACTTTACAAAATAAAGTATGCTAAACAATTGTTGATAATTACATTGAGAATTGTAATTCTAATTTGTATGCAGCTGATGAGAAGCCGTTGAATAGAATGAATTCATTCTACTCTACAAACCGTGTTCTTCATGCTCTGTTGGAACACTAAACACACAAACTCATACATCGCACAAACTAAGGTGTTTCTCTACCCAAGAAAAAATCCATCGACGAGTCTCTTGGTTATTATGGAATCAAACACTCCAACTATCCCTCGTCTCAACAAAACATCCACTTATGTTATCACCTCCCTAAGCAAACTGCATAATTCTCAGGAGACTTCCATCAAGTGACAGATGTTCGTCAGCTAGTATCCAACTATAAGCATTTTAGCAGCAGTAAAAACTAACAGATATCCATACCCCCACAAGTCCAATAGAGCAGATCAAATCACATAAGAGAAAATGTATTAATACACATCTTGGTCACATAAAGCAAAAACCTACGCCTAGAACCCCAACCAATCTACAGTAAAACTGTCGACATTGTACATGTAACATTTCAAACACCTGACGGAAGCCATACCAAATTCACTGAGTCTCTCTATCTCCTCAGTCATACATCTCGACCACAAACTCATCCGTGTGTCTTTCTCGCCTAAATTCCCCAACACTTCGAATAAACACTACGTTCCAATCAGTACTAACTGAATTCACATCTATTTATTCACAAATTTATGCGAGTGTCTGAAGACACGAACCCCTGTAACTAACCCCACAGTCAGTAAAGACAATTCAGAACTGACTTAGTTTCTTGTAAAAATGTATTACATATTGCCTTTTACATTCTTACAATTCTCTTCTTATCACACTCTTTACAGACAGCCAGAATGGAGTGGCACTATGAACTCGTAGGACACATCCCAGTTTACAAACCACCAAATGGAAAACCACATCCATCAACATTCGCCAATCGAATGCTGAAAACAACCAATTCGAAATAACCTGTCGCAATTGAAATAGGAAACAATACAAATTAAAACTCAATATACTTTAACAATAATTCTATGCATTCTGAACAGAACAATAAATATATAAGCGGACTTTTATCAGACTAATAATACGATCAATTTTAATTCATATGACACGCAATTAGTTCATCATCAGGAGGAGTTCAAATGTATACACTTACCAACGAACCGGCACGAATATCTGAAACTAACAGAAAAAATCACTGCATAAAATAGTGATCAGTGTGAAAGACGAATCAACAATTCATAAGAGGTGTCATACACTCATCATATAACCATTACTGGGAAACATGAAAATACTCAACAATAATATTAGGAACTGACTCAGTAATAGAGTTTACCGTCTAACTAACTAACTAACTAACCTGGAATTTCCGCACCAATATCCACGAACACTGACCAAAACCTCCTGATAACAAATACGACTGAACACCATCGTGAACACAGGAAACCTATTTCAATCAATACATAAGTACAATTATCATCGACTTACCACAAAAACTCAGCGATTCCGCAAAAAACCCATCACCATCGGTCGGCCAAGACACTACACACTACGCACACGGTCGCCAAATTCACCTGTAGGCTTGCAGACAATGCGTCAAGCATCCCTGAAAACAAAACGACCCTTGGGAAATTCCTCAGCTACACCCTATCCCACTCGCACGTATTCCCATCTCTACAACCACTGTAGGCTATGTTAGCTAGCGTATCACATACTTAGATGCCGATTTACATAGAACTACAAATTAAGCCAAGTCACAAAACACACGATCTAGGAGTCCCACATATCCATAATCGTCAATCACAACTTCTCTCCTATACACAAAAGCCTAAGCAAACACTAAATGTCATACAACCAGATCCCTTGATACAATTAAACAGAGCAAGAACAACAAGCTTTGCAGGATAAAATGAATTCATTCTATTCAACGGCTTCTCGTCAGCTGCATACAAATTAGAATTACAATTCTCAATGTAATTATTAACATTTGTTTATAATACTTTAGTTTGTGAAGTTTAGACAAATATTCAAAACGTAACCGAAATCATAATAGTAAGAAGAATACGGATACAAAATTTATGAATAAACATAGTTAAGATCGATGTGTATTTACATGTTGGACTGTAATAATTCAGAGTAAGGTAGGCATTATAATTACCAGTAATCATAACCAAGGTAAAAGAGGCTATGTAAAGGTAATGAAATTAATAATTGGTCGCGTAATCACTCAACATGATAAAAGAAAACAAATATGTGGACACCAACAAGAATAATAAAGCTAAGGAAGTTGGGGACAGAGTTGGAAAGAAAATTTAAAAATCAAAACTAATGAACGTCATTAGATAAACATCCGACCATCATGTCAAATGAAGGTTAGTCACACTTCCCTTCTGTATACATAGGTCAGGTCGGAAACGTTCGATGTCGATCACCTCCGCCAAACGCAATAACCTTGGTGTTTGTTGTCTGTTAATTATTTTGAATGCATTACTTACATTCACCTCGTGTCCACTGTCCAAAAGGTGTCTGACAATAGCACTTGTAAACACTTTACTCCCTTTCAGTCGTACGATCCTAGAAATGTGTTCAGAAACCTAATACACACCCTTCTATCTATCATTCCTGTATACATGCTACCGCAAGCAAATATAAATTCATAGATGCGATTTGAGGTGACGTCGGAAGGGTGTTGATCTATCATGGAATGATATAACAAAATACTTGGTATTTTGTATGCCTATTCTTCGTACTATTATGATTTCGGTTACGTTTCGGACATTTATCTAAACTTTACAAAATAAAGTATGCTAAACAATTGTTGATAATTACATTGAGAATTGTAATTCTAATTTGTATGCAGCTGATGAGAAGCCGTTGAATAGAATGAATTCATTCTACTCTACAAACCGTGTTCTTCATGCTCTGTTGGAACACTAAACACACAAACTCATACATCGCACAAACTAAGGTGTTTCTCTACCCAAGAAAAAATCCATCGACGAGTCTCTTGGTTATTATGGAATCAAACACTCCAACTATCCCTCGTCTCAACAAAACATCCACTTATGTTATCACCTCCCTAAGCAAACTGCATAATTCCCAGGAGACTTCCATCAAGTGACAGATGTTCGTCAGCTAGTATCCAACTATAAGCATTTTAGCAGCAGTAAAAACTAACAGATATCCATACCCCCACAAGTCCAATAGAGCAGATCAAATCACATAAGAGAAAATGTATTAATACACATCTTGGTCACATAAAGCAAAAACCTACGCCTAGAACCCCAACCAATCTACAGTAAAACTGTCGACATTGTACATGTAACATTTCAAACACCTGACGGAAGCCATACCAAATTCACTGAGTCTCTCTATCTCCTCAGTCATACATCTCGACCACAAACTCATCCGTGTGTCTTTCTCGCCTAAATTCCCCAACACTTCGAATAAACACTACGTTCCAATCAGTACTAACTGAATTCACATCTATTTATTCACAAATTTATGCGAGTGTCTGAAGACACGAACCCCTGTAACTAACCCCACAGTCAGTAAAGACAATTCAGAACTGACTTAGTTTCTTGTAAAAATGTATTACATATTGCCTTTTACATTCTTACAATTCTCTTCTTATCACACTCTTTACAGACAGCCAGAATGGAGTGGCACTATGAACTCGTAGGACACATCCCAGTTTACAAACCACCAAATGGAAAACCACATCCATCAACATTCGCCAATCGAATGCTGAAAACAACCAATTCGAAATAACCTGTCGCAATTGAAATAGGAAACAATACAAATTAAAACTCAATATACTTTAACAATAATTCTATGCATTCTGAACAGAACAATAAATATATAAGCGGACTTTTATCAGACTAATAATACGATCAATTTTAATTCATATGACACGCAATTAGTTCATCATCAGGAGGAGTTCAAATGTATACACTTACCAACGAACCGGCACGAATATCTGAAACTAACAGAAAAAATCACTGCATAAAATAGTGATCAGTGTGAAAGACGAATCAACAATTCATAAGAGGTGTCATACACTCATCATATAACCATTACTGGGAAACATGAAAATACTCAACAATAATATTAGGAACTGACTCAGTAAGAGTTTACCGTCTAACTAACTAACTAACTAACCTGGAATTTCCGCACCAATATCCACGAACACTGACCAAAACCTCCTGATAACAAATACGACTGAACACCATCGTGAACACAGGAAACCTATTTCAATCAATACATAAGTACAATTATCATCGACTTACCACAAAAACTCAGCGATTCCGCAAAAAACCCATCACCATCGGTCGGCCAAGACACTACACACTACGCACACGGTCGCCAAATTCACCTGTAGGCTTGCAGACAATGCGTCAAGCATCCCTGAAAACAAAACGACCCTTGGGAAATTCCTCAGCTACACCCTATCCCACTCGCACGTATTCCCATCTCTACAACCACTGTAGGCTATGTTAGCTAGCGTATCACATACTTAGATGCCGATTTACATAGAACTACAAATTAAGCCAAGTCACAAAACACACGATCTAGGAGTCCCACATATCCATAATCGTCAATCACAACTTCTCTCCCATACACAAAAGCCTAAGCAAACACTAAATGTCATACAACCAGATCCCTTGATACAATTAAACAGAGCAAGAACAACAAGCTTTGCAGGATAAAATGAATTCATTCTATTCAACGGCTTCTCGTCAGCTGCATACAAATTAGAATTACAATTCTCAATGTAATTATTAACATTTGTTTATAATACTTTAGTTTGTGAAGTTTAGACAAATATTCAAAACGTAACCGAAATCATAATAGTAAGAAGAATACGGATACAAAATTTATGAATAAACATAGTTAAGATCGATGTGTATTTACATGTTGGACTGTAATAATTCAGAGTAAGGTAGGCATTATAATTACCAGTAATCATAACCAAGGTAAAAGAGGCTATGTAAAGGTAATGAAATTAATAATTGGTCGCGTAATCACTCAACATGATAAAAGAAAACAAATATGTGGACACCAACAAGAATAATAAAGCTAAGGAAGTTGGGGACAGAGTTGGAAAGAAAATTTAAAAATCAAAACTAATGAACGTCATTAGATAAACATCCGACCATCATGTCAAATGAAGGTTAGTCACACTTCCCTTCTGTATACATAGGTCAGGTCGGAAACGTTCGATGTCGATCACCTCCGCCAAACGCAATAACCTTGGTGTTTGTTGTCTGTTAATTATTTTGAATGCATTACTTACATTCACCTCGTGTCCACTGTCCAAAAGGTGTCTGACAATAGCACTTGTAAACACTTTACTCCCTTTCAGTCGTACGATCCTAGAAATGTGTTCAGAAACCTAATACACACCCTTCTATCTATCATTCCTGTATACATGCTACCGCAAGCAAATATAAATTCATAGATGCGATTTGAGGTGACGTCGGAAGGGTGTTGATCTATCATGGAATGATATAACAAAATACTTGGTATTTTGTATGCCTATTCTTCGTACTATTATGATTTCGGTTACGTTTCGGACATTTATCTAAACTTTACAAAATAAAGTATGCTAAACAATTGTTGATAATTACATTGAGAATTGTAATTCTAATTTGTATGCAGCTGATGAGAAGCCGTTGAATAGAATGAATTCATTCTACTCTACAAACCGTGTTCTTCATGCTCTGTTGGAACACTAAACACACAAACTCATACATCGCACAAACTAAGGTGTTTCTCTACCCAAGAAAAAATCCATCGACGAGTCTCTTGGTTATTATGGAATCAAACACTCCAACTATCCCTCGTCTCAACAAAACATCCACTTATGTTATCACCTCCCTAAGCAAACTGCATAATTCTCAGGAGACTTCCATCAAGTGACAGATGTTCGTCAGCTAGTATCCAACTATAAGCATTTTAGCAGCAGTAAAAACTAACAGATATCCATACCCCCACAAGTCCAATAGAGCAGATCAAATCACATAAGAGAAAACGTATTAATACACATCTTGGTCACATAAAGCAAAAACCTACGCCTAGAACCCCAACCAATCTACAGTAAAACTGTCGACATTGTACATGTAACATTTCAAACACCTGACGGACGCCATACCAAATTCACTGAGTCTCTCTATCTCCTCAGTCATACATCTCGACCACAAACTCATCCGTGTGTCTTTCTCGCCTAAATTCCCCAACACTTCGAATAAACACTACGTTCCAATCAGTACTAACTGAATTCACATCTATTTATTCACAAATTTATGCGAGTGTCTGAAGACACGAACCCCTGTAACTAACCCCACAGTCAGTAAAGACAATTCAGAACTGACTTAGTTTCTTGTAAAAATGTATTACATATTGCCTTTTACATTCTTACAATTCTCTTCTTATCACACTCTTTACAGACAGCCAGAATGGAGTGGCACTATGAACTCGTAGGACACATCCCAGTTTACAAACCACCAAATGGAAAACCACATCCATCAACATTCGCCAATCGAATGCTGAAAACAACCAATTCGAAATAACCTGTCGCAATTGAAATAGGAAACAATACAAATTAAAACTCAATATACTTTAACAATAATTCTATGCATTCTGAACAGAACAATAAATATATAAGCGGACTTTTATCAGACTAATAATACGATCAATTTTAATTCATATGACACGCAATTAGTTCATCATCAGGAGGAGTTCAAATGTATACACTTACCAACGAACCGGCACGAATATCTGAAACTAACAGAAAAAATCACTGCATAAAATAGTGATCAGTGTGAAAGACGAATCAACAATTCATAAGAGGTGTCATACACTCATCATATAACCATTACTGGGAAACATGAAAATACTCAACAATAATATTAGGAACTGACTCAGTAAGAGTTTACCGTCTAACTAACTAACTAACTAACCTGGAATTTCCGCACCAATATCCACGAACACTGACCAAAACCTCCTGATAACAAATACGACTGATCACCATCGTGAACACAGGAAACCTATTTCAATCAATACATAAGTACAATTATCATCGACTTACCACAAAAACTCAGCGATTCCGCAAAAAACCCATCACCATCGGTCGGCCAAGACACTACACACTACGCACACGGTCGCCAAATTCACCTGTAGGCTTGCAGACAATGCGTCAAGCATCCCTGAAAACAAAACGACCCTTGGGAAATTCCTCAGCTACACCCTATCCCACTCGCACGTATTCCCATCTCTACAACCACTGTAGGCTATGTTAGCTAGCGTATCACATACTTAGATGCCGATTTACATAGAACTACAAATTAAGCCAAGTCACAAAACACACGATCTAGGAGTCCCACATATTCATAATCGTCAATCACAACTTCTTTCCCATACACAAAAGCCTAAGCAAACACTAAATGTCATACAACCAGATCCCTTGATACAATTAAACAGAGCAAGAACAACAAGCTTTGCAGGATAAAATGAATTCATTCTATTCAACGGCTTCTCGTCAGCTGCATACAAATTAGAATTACAATTCTCAATGTAATTATTAACATTTGTTTATAATACTTTAGTTTGTGAAGTTTAGACAAATATTCAAAACGTAACCGAAATCATAATAGTAAGAAGAATACGGATACAAAATTTATGAATAAACATAGTTAAGATCGATGTGTATTTACATGTTGGACTGTAATAATTCAGAGTAAGGTAGGCATTATAATTACCAGTAATCATAACCAAGGTAAAAGAGGCTATGTAAAGGTAATGAAATTAATAATTGGTCGCGTAATCACTCAACATGATAAAAGAAAACAAATATGTGGACACCAACAAGAATAATAAAGCTAAGGAAGTTGGGGACAGAGTTGGAAAGAAAATTTAAAAATCAAAACTAATGAACGTCATTAGATAAACATCCGACCATCATGTCAAATGAAGGTTAGTCATACTTCCCTTCTGTATACATAGGTCAGGTCGGAAACGTTCGATGTCGATCACCTCCGCCAAACGCAATAACCTTGGTGTTTGTTGTCTGTTAATTATTTTGAATGCATTACTTACATTCACCTCGTGTCCACTGTCCAAAAGGTGTCTGACAATAGCACTTGTAAACACTTTACTCCCTTTCAGTCGTACGATCCTAGAAATGTGTTCAGAAACCTAATACACACCATTCTATCTATCATTCCTGTATACATGCTACCGCAAGCAAATATAAATTCATAGATGCGATTTGAGGTGACGTCGGAAGGGTGTTGATCTATCATGGAATGATATAACAAAATACTTGGTATTTTGTATGCCTATTCTTCGTACTATTATGATTTCGGTTACGTTTCGGACATTTATCTAAACTTTACAAAATAAAGTATGCTAAACAATTGTTGATAATTACATTGAGAATTGTAATTCTAATTTGTATGCAGCTGATGAGAAGCCGTTGAATAGAATGAATTCATTCTACTCTACAAACCGTGTTCTTCATGCTCTGTTGGAACACTAAACACACAAACTCATACATCGCACAAACTAAGGTGTTTCTCTACCCAAGAAAAAATCCATCGACGAGTCTCTTGGTTATTATGGAATCAAACACTCCAACTATCCCTCGTCTCAACAAAACATCCACTTATGTTATCACCTCCCTAAGCAAACTGCATAATTCCCAGGAGACTTCCATCAAGTGACAGATGTTCGTCAGCTAGTATCCAACTATAAGCATTTTAGCAGCAGTAAAAACTAACAGATATCCATACCCCCACAAGTCCAATAGAGCAGATCAAATCACATAAGAGAAAACGTATTAATACACATCTTGGTCACATAAAGCAAAAACCTACGCCTAGAACCCCAACCAATCTACAGTAAAACTGTCGACATTGTACATGTAACATTTCAAACACCTGACGGACGCCATACCAAATTCACTGAGTCTCTCTATCTCCTCAGTCATACATCTCGACCACAAACTCATCCGTGTGTCTTTCTCGCCTAAATTCCCCAACACTTCGAATAAACACTACGTTCCAATCAGTACTAACTGAATTCACATCTATTTATTCACAAATTTATGCGAGTGTCTGAAGACACGAACCCCTGTAACTAACCCCACAGTCAGTAAAGACAATTCAGAACTGACTTAGTTTCTTGTAAAAATGTATTACATATTGCCTTTTACATTCTTACAATTCTCTTCTTATCACACTCTTTACAGACAGCCAGAATGGAGTGGCACTATGAACTCGTAGGACACATCCCAGTTTACAAACCACCAAATGGAAAACCACATCCATCAACATTCGCCAATCGAATGCTGAAAACAACCAATTCGAAATAACCTGTCGCAATTGAAATAGGAAACAATACAAATTAAAACTCAATATACTTTAACAATAATTCTATGCATTCTGAACAGAACAATAAATATATAAGCGGACTTTTATCAGACTAATAATACGATCAATTTTAATTCATATGACACGCAATTAGTTCATCATCAGGAGGAGTTCAAATGTATACACTTACCAACGAACCGGCACGAATATCTGAAACTAACAGAAAAAATCACTGCATAAAATAGTGATCAGTGTGAAAGACGAATCAACAATTCATAAGAGGTGTCATACACTCATCATATAACCATTACTGGGAAACATGAAAATACTCAACAATAATATTAGGAACTGACTCAGTAAGAGTTTACCGTCTAACTAACTAACTAACTAACCTGGAATTTCCGCACCAATATCCACGAACACTGACCAAAACCTCCTGATAACAAATACGACTGATCACCATCGTGAACACAGGAAACCTATTTCAATCAATACATAAGTACAATTATCATCGACTTACCACAAAAACTCAGCGATTCCGCAAAAAACCCATCACCATCGGTCGGCCAAGACACTACACACTACGCACACGGTCGCCAAATTCACCTGTAGGCTTGCAGACAATGCGTCAAGCATCCCTGAAAACAAAACGACCCTTGGGAAATTCCTCAGCTACACCCTATCCCACTCGCACGTATTCCCATCTCTACAACCACTGTAGGCTATGTTAGCTAGCGTATCACATACTTAGATGCCGATTTACATAGAACTACAAATTAAGCCAAGTCACAAAACACACGATCTAGGAGTCCCACATATTCATAATCGTCAATCACAACTTCTTTCCCATACACAAAAGCCTAAGCAAACACTAAATGTCATACAACCAGATCCCTTGATACAATTAAACAGAGCAAGAACAACAGGCTTTGCTGAATAAAATGAATTCGTGTCATTTGTCTGCTTCGCATTTGATCCATACATTCCAGTAAATCGTGCAATCTAATGTGTATATCCAGGAACAGATCGATGGACTAAATTACAATTAATTCGTGTTATTCATCGGCTTCTCATTTGATCCATACATTCTAGTAGATCGCGGAAACTAAGGTTTATCTAGGAACAGATCGATCGACAGTTTCTAGGTTATTATAATTTCAAACACTACATTTATCACTTTTCTCAACATGGCATCTTATTACCTCGTCTCGCGCTCAAGGAGACTACGTACCTGCTATGTGTTATGTTTCTCTTCGTGTTTTTTATGATAGTTGTAACTTATATCTAGCGCATATTTCTCGATATTTCATGTGGTCGTTAAACCTTCTGTCATATACGCAGATGATCGTAATTGCTTTGTTTACTGCTATGATCTCAAATTATAGTGTTTTTCAATGCCTTATGCTAGCGTCAATTGGAAACGGTAGGTTTTGACCGTTTTACTTCTAATTTGTTCACTTGGTTCCTGATACTTTCCGGTTAAAAGTGTCTTGTACCTAATTTCTTTCTGCTCAACGTGATCATCTCTGTTCAGCGCCGTGTTTGGTTCGTATTATGTATTTGGGCTTTCCCTGACTCCCAGATATTACCAAAAAAGATACAATATATAGGAACCTTTATTATAAGTAACATATTACAGTTCCTTCACAGTAAGATCTATAAAGAAGCAGAATTAGTTGATAATTATGTGTTAATACTTGGTGGGAGTGAACGCTTGATTTTTCCAACTTTTTCTTTCTCCACGACTACAAGCGTATATAGAAATCGACTGCATCTGATTTTAAACTTGACATTGTCTTTGTTTTCTTTAATCTTAACAGCTAAAAAAATTATTCTAGTTTCGGAATAACTCACACTTCGCGTCTGCCCTTTGTGTCATATGTAGGAACTCCTTTATGTTGTCTACTTGTCGAGGCATGGCAGGCTAAAATTAGAGTTAAAAAAAGTGTTTTTACATGAACGAATTATTGCTCCAAGCGGCTTCTCTGCCCATAACAAAGAGTCAGCAAGCTCCCAGCGATGTTCCCGGCGCACTTGTGTCTGAAGCTCATGAGTGTTAGGTACATCGAAGCCGCAAAACACATCTATATGGCTCATGATCACTTCAAACTTGTCTTGCGGTATCGGTGGATCCCGAATAATCAACAATTCCATGAATAAATCACGATACTTATTACACATGTGTTTCAAAATATGATTAAGTGCTTTTCTCCAGTCTAATGACAAGCCATCTACGTAGTCACGCAGGATCGATTTTTTAGACCCACGACATTTGATTGCCTTAATCCAGGCAATGCACCATTCTAGTCGAATGTCGTCGTCTACGGAGTGATCATCTCTCAACCCTAGAATGAACTGTAAAACAAGCTCACCAACAAGCTTGTGATATAGCATCGTGCTAAAGAGAGGCTTTAGTTTGATAGCCTGGTTCTGAACAATGTTGCATGGAGGACTTCCGCCAACAAACATAGCACAGCCATAACTACATATTGTATTTACTATCAACGGAAAGCAAGCATATGTTGAACGGTTCCTGAACACTTCCTTTACATCAAGTTGAGTTGTCTTTTCTTCTTGCAGTAAATTTTCGACATATTTAGTTAAAGCCAAACTTTGACACTTCAACAACCCATCTACTTCGATAAACTGTTCTTCGTTATAGTTTACGTTGGACGCCCAAAATTCACTCAGATATTTTAGTGACCAGCGAAAAGCGCTTTCTAGTGTGTCCGTTGACGGTATTATTCCATGTGCTATGTCATTGCGCAGATCAGCCAGCCAGCTGGGTAAGCCTGCTACACGAGCAAGAGACAAAATGGGCAGTGCAAAATTCGGTCTCTCGCGGTCTTGGGACTCACTAGATAGCAACGAGACAAACCTCATGAGGGCCAGTGCCATACTTTGGCTTGAATTTTCAAAGTAAGCATTTAGAAGTTCATAAGTGCAAATTATAGACCGTGGTATTTTGGATACAGGCATACGACACAACCATATTTTTATGGTCTCCCAGGCTAGACGAAGTTTATATGTCTCGCATGAAGATACATTCCTAGCAACGTCACTGAATTCACTAGCATCAACCCAAGGAACTATCCGCTTATCATCATTCATAATACAATCCTAACATATAGTCAGTATAAAAAGCCAAGCCTACCAGGAATATGAGATAACTCACGCCGCGTGTAACGGAACCTTCACAGTGACCTTCTTAGAGCGCCAAACAACTGACCAAATAAAACAAATGATTCAAAATGGTTCAAATGGTTGTGGACGGAATAGAAGAAGCTTTCGCTTAACAGGCTTCCGTGTCTAGTAGCAGGGGATCACCAAATCCTCCAGGCAGGAACCTAGGTATGTTAACAATAAAAAAGGAAAAGAAATTGGTAAATCATAATGTGATGCTGTCCTTGGTCCTTAAGAATAGGTCAAGTTGCCTCTTGAAGGACTCCTGAGAAGTCGCTTGGACTAGCTAGGCCGGCAGCGAATTCCAGCTTTTGACAACTCTTAAGGAATAGAAGTTGTGTCTACATTCCGTCTTGCTATGTTGTGTTTCCAGTTTCTGGGTGTTACCCCTTAGGTTATTATTCGAACTAAGCTTAAGTAGGTGTTTAAGAGGATGTCCAGAAGTGTTAAGAATGCTATAAGCCATTAGTAAATCACCTCTAAGACGCCTATATTCTAGTGGGTAAAGGTCTAGTGAACGGAGGCGTTCTTCGTAAGGTTAAGATTTGAGTCCTCGAACTGATTTCGTGGCTCGCCGTTGGATACGCTCCAAAGTGACTTTGTCCTTATGGAGTGAGGGGGGAGTACTATGTTTCCGTACTCTAAATGGGGACGGATGAAACTATTGAAGATTGTGTGGAAAGTTCTTCCGTCAAACTGGCCAAAAATGCGCTTCAAGATTACCAGTGCAAGGTTTGCTCGGAAGGCATTTTTGTCACAGTTAGCGTAAGACTTTAAGTCATGGGGCACCAGGACTCCTAAATCTTTTTCGACTTGGGATACTACTAGAGAGGAGTTTCCTAAGTTGTAACTGTAGTTTGCGACATGTCGCAGATGGACTACTTTACACTTTGAAGTGTTAAACGTAAGTCCGTTATCGTCTGCCCAACTTTGAAGTCGCGTCAGATCCTCCTGAAGTGCCTGTGTATCGTCTTGGTCGCGTATCTCTCTCCAAAGTTTCACGTCGTCGGCAAAAAGTAGTAAGTCTGACGTTACCTGTTGCGGAAGATCATTTATGTAGATCAAGAAGAGAAGAGGCCCTAGTACTGAGCCCTGGGGAACCCCACTAGGACATTCCATAGCCTGAGATTAAGTGGAATTAACCCTAACCTTAAAGTGTCGATTTTTTAGGTATGAAGTAAGCCAGTCGATTAGAGGTGGTTTGATACCTAGTCGTTTGAGCTTGTTGATAAGACACAAGTGGTTAACCTTATCAAAAGCTTTTGAGAAATCAAGGTAAATGACGTCAACCTTTCCCTTGCAATCGAGGATGCTTGTCCATTTGTCCACCGCAGTCAGCAGGTTGGTCATACAAGAGTAACCCTTCCTGAAACCATGCTGTTGGGGTGAGAAGAAATTTAAGGACAGTAGATAGTCATTTAAACCGTCGCATATCAGGGACTCCATGAGTTTTGAAGGTAATGACAGAAGAGCCACCGGCCGATAACTTGAAGATTCATTGCGTCGACCACCTTTGAAAATTGGTGTGATGTGAGCCAACTTCCAGTTTTCCGGTAATTTGCCTCGGCTAAGCGAGTGTGAAAACATCACGCTAAGCGGCGTTGCCAGGATTGAGGCTGCCTCCCTCAGTATGGCAGGATGAACCATATCCGGGCCAGGAGAAGTGTCAAGTCTTAAGTGCTGCAATTTCCGGAACACCAAGTCAGCGCTTAGGTCCACTTCAGAAAGCCCTGTGGAGTTGGAGATGAAACTGTCGTCAATAAAGTTGATGTCAGCCGGTTGAAATGTTTGAGAGTAATGGGCCGCCAGAAGGTTGGCGGCGTTGCCATCGTTGTTGGTTGGACCGTTAAGACCTAGCAGTTGAGAAACTCCTGTTTTGGCTTGACGAAGAGAGGCTGCATAACGGAATAGGCTTCTAGGGTTAGAGGCGAATTTGTCCATAAGATTTGTTTGGTACTGAAGCCTGTCTTCTCTTATAGCCTTCGTGCATGTGTTCCTGATATGTTTGTATTGCCTATACGCTCCATCGTTATTAGTTCATTTGTATTCCGCCCAACAGTGCTGTTTGCGGCTTAGGAGGCGAAGGGTACGGTTCTTGATTACTGTAGGTGGCTTGAAGCTTTTGGGAACCGTTTGAGGAACTGAATGGTCTGTAGCACATAAGAGCGTGTGCAGTAAGAAGTCCCAATGACCATCCACATCGAGTTGAGGGTGAACATCCCAAACCACCTGTTGTAGATAGTCATGTAGAGCTGGCACATTCAGCCGTCTAAAATTCCAACGCAAATTATTGTTGGGATACCTTAGCTTAGTTTTGATGACAAAACTGAAGGCTATGACGGCATGATCGCTTTTCCCAGAGGAGCCAGGATTGAGAGGTTATCGACTAGGAATTATTCGTTAGTGAATACACAGTCTAAGCGCGATGGTGTCTGACTGTTTCTCCAACGAGTTGCCGACCTCACATTTTCATATAAGCCCAAGTCATCGATGAGGTTGAAGAACCGAGCTTCAATTGAGTTGTCGCCTCCAGTGTACGTGTGTTCCGCGAAGTTGACTCTAGGGAGATTAAAGTCCCCTAGAATCAGGATGTGTGTGAAACCGAGACGGATAGAGCGGGATAGTCCTTCCAGCATACGACTATCGTACTCGGTGTCGGCAGTTGGCTTCCTGTAAATGACTCTGACTAGACACCTGGAAGTACTAGACAATCTTACAGAGCACCATATGGATTCCTCAAGATTGTTAAACTCGAGGTTGTGAACTTGGTGCACCTCCAAGCAAGAGCTTATGTATATGGCTACTCCGCCCCCAATTCCTGTTTTTCTGTCGTTGCGGAACAAAGTCATCCCAGGTAATGCTAACTCTTGATCCGAGAACTGAGAAGATATCCAGGTTTCAGATATTCCTATCAGATGGGCCTTATTAGCATTGCTAAGTTCACGTAATTCATCCAGTTTGTTTGGTAGACTCGCGGCGTCCATATATAAGCAGTTTATGCTTTCAATTTGGAACGCGTGAGCTTCGTCCTGTTTTTCTGTATGAGCCTTATGTGAATGGACAGGTAGCCCACTTATATAAGGTTTGCCGAGGTGGTAGGCCCTGTCCTTTACACGCTATTTTTATCATTTAGACAGTCCACAAGTGGAATGGTCAGCTCCAACTTGCCTTTGTTCTTGGTCCTGACTTCGTATGGCCTATCCGGGTGCATGTGGATTCCAGGTGGCAATCGACGTCTGTTGGCACGAAATGCTTCCAGAACTGCAGCCGCCATATAGGAAGACGGGAAGGTTGTCTTCATTAGACGGGGTCTAAGATCACCGTCCTTCTTGGCTAGTCTCGTCACATGCTGAGTCAGTATGTGTTTGAGCCTCAAGGACTGTTTGATGAATTTCCATTCCCTGATGTCAGAATTTGATTGAGTAGGGTCTGCATTTTCCGGTATACCTTGGACAATTATGTTTCTTCCGCGGAAAAACTTCTCGCGAGATTCTTTAGGGACGTTTCGTATGATACTGCGCTCAGAGTACGGTATGTCGGGCAGTATTCTTACGTTACCATCTGATTTCAGCAAGTGGCTTGCTAGCAAGACGTCCTCTACGTCGGTAGCAGCCTTAAGTGTTACTCGGAGAAGCCTCGGGTGATTTAGATGCTTAGAATCCTTTCCTCGAGTGAGCCGGGTGACCGTCAAAGGCTCTATTCTAGGAAGTTCGAGCTTCTTGTTCAATTCACCCCAGAGCATCCTGTTGTTTTTGTCCTGCAGACTGAGAGGAAGTTCAGGATTGTCAACGAGGTTCATGATAATGAGAGAATCGTCACGAACTGTTGTTAAGTTACGAGATTTCACGATGGGTTCAGGTTTAGTAACTTGTTGTTTGGAGGTCAGTGTGCGTTTATGAATCATGGGCTCTTTGTTGACCGGACGAACAGTCTTGGGGGTAGACTGTGCGACCAAATTACCAGTTATTTTCCGTACAGCAACACTTGGGTTGCTCGGCTTAGGCGGTGATGCCTGGTTCTTTTGGGCTCTCTTAACATGGGTCGAATCACATGCAGGGTTTTTGGGAACCACTGTTGTGTTCAGGGACCCTAAGCTGGGAGACCCAAGTTTGCTTAAGGAGTCTAGTACCGTCGACATAATGATGGTGCTGAGCCTCGACACGTCATCATTAGTGTTGACGGATGCTCCATCGGTGGTATACCTGTCGGCATCTCTATTTTGTGTCCGTCGCACACTCTTGTTTGTCTACCGGTTTTTTACTATCGTTATCCAAGTTAACTGACAACGTGTTCCGAAGACCTGTCAGTAGGACAATGATGTTACTCAGCAAGACTACGGAGTCTGTGTTGCACGTGACACACACCCACTTTTGCTCTGACTTGCTGAGTCTGTTGTAAGCAGTTGCTGTCAGATCTGTGCATGCTTCGTGGAACCAACCTTTGCAGTTGTCGCACTGCATGCCAGTTGTGACAGCAAAACGGCATCCCGGACGTTTGCATGAGTTTTTCATGACGGTGTTGAAGCAAATTATGTTATAGATGCTTGCAAGAGCCTAAGACCTTTTTTAAAAAACACTAAAAAGCACACTGAAAACGGACAAAAATGGACAAAACGAGTGATATAAACTGAAACTAGTCTATACGTGAAAAACAAAAAAAACCGAATAGTAAGCTGAGGCAAAACCACAGGTAACTATTAAGTATAGTGAAACTCAAAAAAAAGTAATCTACCGAACGTATAGCTCAGGATAGATTCTTTAGAACTGAAATGGTACTTTTGTTGCGTAAGAACACAGCAAAAGTTTGATAAATGCAAATCACGTTAGGACTAAACTTCCCGTTCGAAAAGCGCATGTAAAATTGGGGTGCGATGTAATAACGAACGAAATATGAAAATCCGTTACAAAGCGAGTTTTGACTATTTACAGCGGTGATATG